AAAGCCGGAAGTGGCGCTGTGGCTCAAGTGGTAGAGCGCTAGCCTTGAGCTGAAGAGCTGAGGGACAGGGCCCAGGCCCAGAGTTCAGGCCCCATAACCGGGCCCCCCAAAAAAAGAAAAGATTAAGCATGGTTAGTATCCATTTATACAAAGAAACCTAAGCTTTATACAAAGGGAATCACAGCAAAGTCTAGGCATACCTAGTCTGGTAAAGCAAAGCAAACCTAAAACAACAACAGCAACAACAAAACACTGAGCATTTAAATTTAGCTGCCCTAAACTTCTGGAAAGAATCTGAAATAGCTTAGCATGAGTTAGGAAACAAAACAAAACCATTTTCCTCATTATAAAACTTACAGACATTTTTGTTTGTTGGTTGGTTGTTTTTTTGGTATTACTAGCCCTTGTACTTGCCTGGCAGGAGGAACTCTACCACTTAAGTCATGCACTTAGTTCTATTGCTTTCATTATTTCCTAATGGAGCTTCCTCCCCCACCCCTCCCCCTACATTTACGCTTCCCATTTAGATGGGATGAAAAACACATGCCACTGCAGTTTTTATTGGTTGAGATGGGTTTCTCATGAACATCTTGCCTTGGCTGGCTTCAAACCATCATACTCCTGATCTCAGCCTCCCCAGTAGCGGAATTACAGGCATGAGCCAGCTAGCTTCTTTTTTCTTTTTTAATCAGACCGTATTGAACTTAAAAGAAATAACTCACTAAGGTGGAGTTGCAGGCTCTTCTCAAAGCCCTAAGTCTCAGCTGTCTTTCACTGTGGGGAAGAGGGGAGACAGGGGGTGCAGATGACGCACAGAGCATCCTTCAGGCTGACTTAGCCACATACCTGGCACTTGACGGGACTCCTTCATGCCCAGGATATCCCTGATGTAGAGTTTTGCAAAGGCTAGAAACACAGGATCCAAACCCCACAAGAGGGAGGGGGTCTCCTCTTCACTCGGGCTGGATTCAGACTGCATCAAGAGGCTGGGCTGTGGCATCCAGCTAACCCCCAAGGCTCTGCTTCACTGAGTTCAAGCACCTCTACAAGACACAGAAGTCAGGATGAGGGGCGTCGAACGTGGGCGAGGTTGGCATGGGCCTGGACTCTTCTCAGGTGGGCATCTTGGAAGCCCAGAGGTCCAGGGCTCTGTCAAACTCTATTCGGGAATGTGGAAGGCGGCCTTCCTCTACCCTGCCCCCAACATGCCAACTTAGGACACAGCTAACCAGCTTTCCCCTGGGCGACACCGTCGATACGTGCGTGCCCTGAGTCCCCCTCCCATGGGTGGGTGCGGGGAGTAAGCAAGGGGCGCCCTGTCTGCCAAGCCCCTGGTTTCAGGGCACCATCCGGGGCCTTGGCTGAAGCCCGGACCCGGTACTTCCGCTTTTCGGGCTGAACTGAACCAAAAAAAAAAAAAAAAGGAAGCAAAAAAAAAAAACCAACAAAAGGACGGGCCTCGGCGCCGCCCACCGCACCCGTTGCCAAGGCTGGCGACTCCCAGCCAGGCGCTCCCGCCCCTAGGCAGCGCTGGCGGCCGCCACCCCGCAGCTTGCAGAGGCGCCTCACCAGTTCCGGCGAGGCCCGGATGCCGTGCCCGGAAGCCACCCGGTTCGCCCGCTGGAGCATTTCCTTCCTCGACTCCGCCCTTGCAATTATCCCCGAGGCCCCGCCCACAACCGCAGATCACGCCTGCCATTCACAGCTCTTCCCGTCCCACCAGAGGCCCCGCCCAAGCCCCCCAGGTGGCTGTGGGCGTGCCTGGCGCCTCCGCAGGACAGAGCTACCCTCCAGCCCTCCTCAGGCTTAAGCCCTCGGACCCCGCGAATCCCACCTTCCTGCAGCCTGAACCACAACTTCCAAGTTGTGCTGGCTGGGCCCTGGATCCAGGACTTCCAAGGGATTGAGATAGGATCCAACCCTTTTTAAATGTTTGGTTCCCAATTTATTAAATAAACAACAAAATTAGGCTGGTCAACAGCAGGATTGCATTGTGGCATATTTTAAATCTCTCTTCACAGCTGATAAAAGATCCACGGCTTGAAACACTACAGTCCCTCTTGGAGAAAATGTCAGTATCTCAGTTGAGCCTCTGAGTGAAAGAGAGATATTGTCTCTATAATAGATTAATTCTTCAAGATCATGTCACTACATTTTGTCTCCTCTCCTCTTTCTTTGTCTATAGTCTGGAATGTTGAACCCTTAACCTTGAGATGCTGGAATTTTGACCATCTTCAAGGTGCCCTGTCCCCAGCAGTCCTAATTGGAAGCAAGAAAAGATAGCCATATTCCACATCCATAAATAAAGAAGCTATATCACATCACTGGAGATGGCCAGAGTTATTCCTAATTTACAAAGCCATGGCAGGAGGTTTACAGGTCACACCAGCCAACCAGTTCCAAACCAGGCAGGTGGTGGTCAAAGAGAATTGTTAAAGTATTTATCAGAGAAGGCACTTTAACCCTTTGGAATGGAAAGTGTATGTCATTAGACTCTTGGCATCTAATTACCTCATTGGACACCGAAGAAGCTGAAAAGCAAGAGTCCCTGGTAAAATACAATATCACCTAGATTCTACTGCACTGAAGAGATGGAACTGTGGAGTTTATGATCTAATGAAGACACCTCTCTAATCGGAGGGAGGCTCTCCCCAAAGAAACACAACCAGTAGGACAAATGCTCACCTGTCAGGTGGGGACAGACAGGTTGGGTGACATTTTCCTGACTCCACATCTGCTCAAGGGTGGGAACCCAAGAAGAAAATGACTCCTAGATGTACTCAGAGGTTGAGATGACTTCAGGAGTCAGTGTCATGGCTCTCTGGGATAGTGGGTTGGAAATAAGAACCTTTAAAGACTCTGCAATTACTGGGAGGCTTGAGAAAGCCACACACAGGTGATGCCATCTTTTACAATGAAGGAGGACTCTGGGAGGAAGGAGTGTTCCTTCTCACCTAAACCCCAAACAGAAAGCAATAGGTTGTCATTGAACTTAAGATGACTTGTAGAACAGAATTTCCAGATGGCAGAAATACCCAGAGGAATTTGGGGAAGATCCTTGTCTTTTCAGTCTTTTTTGTTGTGGTGGTTGTTGGTCATGGGGCTTGAATTCTGGACCTGGGCGCTGTCCCTGAGCTTTTCTGCTCAAGGCCAGCACTCTACCACTCTGAGCCACAGTTTTCTGGTTAATTGGAGATAAGAGTCTCATGGACTTTCCTGCCCGGGCTGGCTTTGGACTATGATCCTCAGATCTCAGCCTCCTGAGTAGCTAGGATTACAGGTATGAGCCATCAGCACCCAGCTCTTTAGTCTTTATCACTGTAGATTTTAAGTCTTCCTGGAGCAACCACCTGGATGTATAAAAATCATCAGTCCTATGGTTTTCCAGCACAGCCCTCCCCAGCACTGCAAAGCAGCCCAACTGTTAGCACTCAGGCTGGGAAACTTTTCTTGTGGCTTTTCAATGTGAAATAACATAATAGACATTTTTTGTCAGAATATATAATTCTTTCTGGAAGATTAAGAGAGTAACCAATTCTTGTGGAAAATGGGGACAGGAAGGGCAGATTCTCATGTGTTAAACTTTTTTTTTAATTTGTGATACTGGGTCTTATACTTGCAGGCACTCTACACTTAAGCCACAACTCCACCCAGCCCTTCAAATTCTCTTTCTTTCTTTTTTTCTGTTGGTCATGGGGCTTGAAGTCAGGGCCTGGGCTCTGTCCCTGAGCTCTTTTGTTCAAAGTGGTAGCACTTTGAGCCATAGTGCCACTTCTGGTTCCGGTGGTTAATTGGAGATAAAGTTTTACAGGGACTTTACTGCCTAGGCTGGCTTTGAACCACGGTCCTCATATCTCAGCCTCCTGAGTAGCTAGGATTATAGGCATGAGCCACCAAAGCCCAGCCCTTCAAACTTTTCTTTTTGTTTTCTTTTTTTATTTTTTTGTTGGTTGTGGGGCTTGAACTCTGGGCCTGGGTGCTGTCCCTCAGCTCTTCAGCTCAAGGCTAGCATTCTACCACTTGAACTATAGCACCAATTCCAGCTTTTTCTGTTTATCTGGTGCCGAGGAATCAAACCCAGGGCCTCATGCATGCAAGGTAAGCACTCTACCATTGAGCCACCTTCCGAGCTCCTCAAACTTTTCCTTGATGTACATATTTTTGGCATCTTTACAGGTAGAATAGAATTTGTCCATTTGAAAATGTGGTTCAATTTTCTGTTAAAATTTTATTTTATCTTTTTTTTAATTTAATTTAATTTAATTTGTGAACATACTGTACAGAGGGGTTACAATTACATGGGCAGGATAATGCGTACATTTCTTACCAAGCATTGCAGCCTCCTCCTTTGTTTACCCTTCACATCCCTTCCCAGCCTCCCCTCTCCCCCCCCAATCCCAATCCTTCTTCTTTCCCCCTCCCCCTGACCCCCCCACCCTGCACCGACATTGTAAAGCTCGTTTTCGACATGACAACTTGTACTACTCATTGTTGCAACAGGCCCACCTGTATCCTTAAACAACTGGTTTTTCCCCATCTCCTCCACAAGTTATACTGACATCAAATATAATGAAAGCAGGGGTTATACTGTCTGTTAAAATTTTATAATTGACAATGATATCTTTTTTAAGCAAATGCTAATAAAGTTTTATGGGAAGTGAGTTCCCTCTCTTTCTCTCTCTGTAAGCCAAGGCTGAACTCAAACTTCAGATCTTCCTGCCACTTCTGATTACAGGTGTTTAACACCTTACCCAACTCTGAGCCCTCTTGTTGACTAGGCCTCAACCTTGGCTTCCAAAGATTGGTTTAACATAGAACATGGTTTCTAACAGCTCAAGGTCATATTCTAGTCCCCCTTAAAATGCCTACCCAATAGAGCACTAGCCTTGAGCAAAAAAAACGCTCAGGGACAATTTACAGGTCAAGTTCAATTCCCAGGATCAGAAAAAAGAAAGAAAGAAAGAAGGAGAGAGAGGGGGGAGGGGGAGAGGGAGGAGAGAGGGAGAGAAGGGAGAGTTTTGTTTAAGGCTAATGCTTTACTACTTTATCCACAGCTCTACTTCAGGCTTTTTTGGAGCTAAATTGGAGATAAAGAATCCTTCAGCCTCTGTCTGGGCTGTCTTCCAACTGTGATCCTCAGATCTCAGCCTCAGCTAGGAGTACAGGTGTGAGCTACCAACTTCAGCTCTAAAGACTTTGAAATAAGAGTAAGTCTCAGTTACTCATAGTCCCTGCTCCTTTCTCGAACAATCTGGGATATGTCTTAATCTTTAGAATTACCAGTTAAGACAAAAATCTTGTATTAAAAAAATCCTTCCTCATCCCAAAGCATTTCCCCTTTCCCTTACTTCTTTTTTATAATATAAAATATATTTTATTTAGTATATTATTAGAATTCACTTTATAATACTTAGTACTCTGTATTTAAAATACAGAGACATACTCAGTCCCCCATTTGACCATAACTCTTTTTCTACTTGCTTAGTAGAATAATCAATAATAAACCTCTAAGCCAAACTTCTAAGCCAAAGCAGGAACTTTTATCTTTTTGTCAGTCGTGGGGCTTGAACTCAGAGCCGAGGTACTGTCCCTAAACTCAAGGCTAGTGCTCTACCACTTTGAGCATCAGTGCCACTTCCGGTTTTCTGGTGGTTAACTGGAGATGTGTCTTATGGATTTTACTGCCTAAGGTGGCTTTGAACCACAATCTTCAGATAATAGACTCCTGAGTAGCTAGGATTACAGACATGAGCCACTGGTGCTGGGCTAAAAGCAGGAACTTTTTTTCTTTTGGTGCTCACCCTGGGGCTTGAACTTGGGGCCTGGGCACTGCCCTCTTGGTTAAAGCAGAAACATTTAAGCAACTCACATTGATAGAAAAGACAGCTTTTATCATACAGGGCCCTGGGCTAGATCCTCAGCTCTGAAATATCAGTATAAACAAAAGCAAAAGGGAGAAATAAATTTGTAACTTTGGAGTATGTGGCCTATAACTGTGGTGTAAGTTATAAGAATGAAGTGATAGGCTTCATTAAGTGAGATAATATGGTCTATACATACAGCAGGAACAGGTAACTCCTCAATATACTATATGGTAGGAGTTAAGCAAATTTTTATTTTTATTTTTGTTAGTCATGGGCTTGTACTCTGAGCTTGGGTGCTGTCCCTCAGCTCTTCAGCTCAAGGCTAGCACTATACCACTAGAACCACAGCGCCACTTCTGTTTTTCTGAGTGGTTTATTGGAGATAAGAATCTCACAGACTTTCCTACCTGGGCTGGCTTTGAACCACAGTCCTCAGATCTCAGCCTCCTGAGTAGCTAGGATTACAGGCATGAGCGACAGGCACCCAGCTAAGCAGATTTTTTTTTTAATGGAGCT